TTTTTTAAATTATGTTCTGAGCGGATGGCAGTTCATTGTTAATTATCTCTAATTGTTTTTGTTTCTCCCTACAGGCCAGTATCGGAGTTTTTTCTCATCCGGGACACAAGCCTCATTCCAAACATCCTGTGGTTTGAATATACAGTAACACGAGCAGAAGCAAGGTAACTATGTGTAAACTTAAGCGTCTAAAAAAAGTCTAAGGTGTGCACTTAGAGTTTTAGGAAGAGTACAAGTGCCAAATTTGAATGATTGAATGTGTATTTGTTTATAGCTAATGTCGTTTTTTTGTGTTATTTAGAAACCGACAACGAAAGCTGGGAACAAAACTTCAGTGATATCTGCAGTTCCTTGTTTAAACCTGGAAAGGACCACACACTGGAGAATCTAGACTGCTACGAGGGGAACCATTTAAAGGACGGACCACAGGAAGTGCTTGGACTGACCTACAGCCTGAGCAAGTCAATTGGCTTGCTTCTGGTGCTCGCGCAGCTTGCTAAATGCTCCCCAATGCATGCGTGACCGTGCAGGAGGCAGACTATTTAATGAAAAGATTAATATATTTTAGCCACAAGCGCACGTTGACAGTAATAAAGTACTGTATCTGATTTTGGGAGCAAAAAGAGGATTCAGAAAAGCAAACATGAAAGTGGTTTGTTGATATTGAGGCATGAAAATATTAGATGTGTGTTTTGTTTTTTTTAAGTACAATTTTGGTGGCTTTTTGGGGGGGTGGGGGTGGGAGTGGGGTGGACATAACACTTTTGACTTTTTGATCATGCATTTAAGAAATTATACACTTTTTTTGTAAGAAACCAGTTAAAAGTTTAATATAAACTAAATTTGCACTTTGTGAAGATTAAAAAAAAAAATAATGAAAAAATGCTTTTATGAACACTATAGACAAATGTGGAAGAAAACTGAAATTTTGTCCCTGGTACTTTAACCTGTGTCTTTGTGTGATTGTCAGCCTCTTTTGCCAAGTGCAAGAAATGTTTTTTTTTTTAATTATTATGCATCCTTTCAAACATTGGCATTAAGCTAGGAGAGTATGGAACCCTACTACCGAATGTCTCTAAATGTTTTATAAAGCATTCCTCTTAAAAAAAAAAAAAAGAAGCCTTAGCTATAGCAAACAACTTACTGCTCTGTTGTTGTTTTTCTGACACGGTTTTAAAATGATCAGGTATAGTATAACATTTTAAAAATGAAAAATATGAGAACACCCTGGAATTATGATAACTGGAGTTACTTAAATGAAACATTGCAGGGGTGTATAAGAGGTTAGACAATGAAATTTCCTAAGGATTGGCCCGTTATGATGACCGGAGATACTGTACTGTCTTTCAAAGTGATGTTCAACTGAAGTCCTTACTCCATGGTTAAATAAAAATCCTATAGCGCTTCTCAAAAGAAAAGGGATTTTAACCCTGGTGTTCAACTGATATGCCATACCACTTATCACAGTCGGCTTTCGGAATCATCTCCCTTACTTCACCTGGTAAAACCATTTCTTCCTTTTCTACCTGGTCTGCTGTGCAGTGGGATTACTGCTGCCAAGTTATTTTTGTGTCATCTATGTAGTGCGACACTTTATGGTGTATGAATTAGACCCCCTTCTATATATGATGCGCTGAGATCCTTTTGGACAAAAATGTGCTGGTTAAAGGCAAAGATTAAAATTGCATCTGCACATCCTTAAGTTGTTTTAATTATCAATTAATAATAAATTATATCATGTGCCTTTAATGGGATACTAAAGGCTATAAATGTGGAATAGCTCTTGAGCTAGGATAATTAAAATTAGAATGTGTTGGTTCAGTTTGTTACTGTTTTATTTGTATAGCGTACCCTCACAGATATAGTTTGTAATTAATGATTGTAAGGCAAAACTTCTTGGTTGGATTTATTATTTGTGACAGCTGCCGCCAAACAATACGGATATAGTCGTCTGCCCCAGTGCTTTTTCCATTATGAACAGCATCTTAATTTTGCATTTTTATCTCACTGTGTTGATCTATTGGTATTGCACACATGGACATTCAGTAGCAATTAGAATTCCAAGTCATCCGGTACTCAGACTCTTCTTCCTGTAAGGGGGAATACATATTTAGAATGTTCATAGAAAGAGCAGGGGAACGGGGCTGTTGATCAACCTACTAAACTGGTTAAACCTCTTCAGGAGACTGGGAAATAATTAGGAGTTCAGGCTGCAGAGGTGAACCGATCACCAGGCCTCTTTATTTCAGCAGAGATCAAGGACCCAACCAGCTCCATGAGAGAAGTTTTTCCCCTCCTCTTTCTCTGCTGCGGAGCTCCCTTTATAGCCAGGTGCAACCAAGTCCATCAGAAATTACAACTTGGTAGTTGCTTCCTTAATAGTTATTTCGACTCATCCTCTCTCCCCTTTCTTCCTGTCAAACACTTGTGTTTGAACAGTTGCTGCCAGCAGTCTGCACGTTATGGCAGAAGTATGAGAACATTTTGTTGTCCAAAGAAGTGTTGAGCCCAAAGAACAGATGCAAAGTCATCGATGCTTCGAGTTGCTAGGCATAAGGTTACAAGTGTTGAGATTACAGTGATGTTATACACAAGATCGATATAAAAATAATCCTTCAAACTGAAAGAAGTCTTTATCAGTGAACTGATAATGGTCTGTTAGTGCTATCTGGCATGGATAATGTAATGTTGATGCACTGGTATTTAGTTATTTGCTTTAAGTCAGGATCTCCAATTTAAATCCTTGAAAACCTAGTGTTTTGTGATTTTTTTTTTCCAATTTAAGTAGTTTATTAAACATTGAACTTTATTTTCTTGTTTAGATATATAGAACTTTTAAAGTTTTTTTTTCTTCATTAATGTGTAGAAGTATAATGTGCTATAGAAGTAGAAGTATAGAATAGTTATAGAATATATTATCCTGTAGAAGTATAATAGTTTAGCCCACCACGTAACAAAGACCTGAAGTGGATCAACTCAAGTTGACACCTCTGGTTTAAGTAATTGTAACAGCCATAACCACTGCAATCTTTTTCCCTAATGTTTTGTTTCTCTCATGGACAGGGAAATTGCTTTGGTTTGAACAGTACACTGGAATGAGCCTGCAACAGGGTCTGAAGTATAAGGAAAAGAATGATACTTCTAACATTGGCCAGTTTTAGTTAAAAAATTTTAAACCTTTTGTTCATTTCTTCATCCAGCATTTTATTCCTTCCATTTTTCATCCTCTAGCTTAGAAAGTAAATTGAAACCAGGCCACACTTTCCAAAGTTTTTTTTAAGCATGCAAATTACTTTAACAAAACAGCTTTTAAAGTTGTTTATACCTACTGTGCTTTTGTTTTGTGTTTTTGGATTGAGAACCTCTCAATTGATGCTTTTTTTATTTGCTTTTCTGCCCTATATAAAATTATAGGCATTTACAGTAGCTCAGATACTCCAGAGCAAGCAAACCAACATCTCTTAAAATTAACCTGGATGTTTTACTTTTATTTTATACTGGTCTGTTGCAGAACCTTTTGAATTTGGTACTCCTTCTGCATGATAAGGGACCTTTGCGTAGGTTTAATTTGTAGTGGCTTACACTGTACACTCAGTTTTAGTCACTTATGCCTTATTCGATGCTGCTATTACTTATTTATACTCTGTAATTTGCATGCATATTTTGAAGATTGGTGTCATGGTTTAAAAGCAGTATTACTGCTTAATAGAGCTTGGTTTCGATTCTGGGCCACAGTGGCCTATGTGTGGAGTCTGCACTTCTCCATGTCTCCATGTCTCTCCATGTCTGTGTGGATTGGGGGTTGTGGTTTCCACCCAAGTCCTCACGATTTGCTGCCTAGTATTGGTATTGCTTGTCCACTCTGTATTGTCCCTCTTTGGACTTGTAATGAACTAGTGTCCCATGCACTGTCGTCCATTCTTGGTCCCGTCCTGTGTCCAGCAGTTCCAGCCCCAGGACAGGCCCTGGATGTCTGCGACCCTTACCAGGACAAGTCTCTTTCTGATAATGGATGGATGATGAGGGGACCTAAGGGACTGAGTCATTTAATCTCACTTTATTCCAATTATTTATACTGCAATCGCCATTAATGAGTACTGCTATTGGTTGAACTTTTAATTCTCAGATTATCAGTGTTGATTACTTTATTATCCCTAATATATATGCAACTACACTTTTGTATCGGAAACATTTTGAATGAACCCAGCCTGTACCTCTGGTTAACGTTACATGAAAAGCCTTATACTCGTGTATACTGACGCTGCTGAACCAGCTGCCTACTATCCCACGGAATATTTTGAGAACATTACTTGGACTGTCAGGGTAACAACACATCCTTGATGGAGGGGGCCAGTGGGTGGTAGTACTACAACATCCTAAGAGTTCGTATGAACTGGTTTTCAGAGCACATTAAAGGGAGAAATGTACTACCCCTGACGGTTCAAGAAGGGACCATTTAAGTTGAGCATCCCTGTGTCCCAGAGTTGCTGTAGAGAACCTCCTTATTTGGCCCTACATTCCAGTGATGAAGGTGAAGAAGACTAGGGAGGAGTATTAAGGGATGGTCAAATGGTGATCATTTACTGCACTGTGCACCTTATTCAAATTCAGATAGAAATGCATGGTGAAGGTGGCCACCCCCACCTAAACGTTTATTTAACATCAGATGCTTGCCTTGCATCTTTACAGTTTCACATGAGTTGTGGAACTCCCTTTGTGCACACATCGTAAATAAAGGAAGAAAATTAATCTCGCTGCTATCTCCGGTCTAGATCACTTTGGACTGTCCTGACTACCTTCCTCTTACAATGGATTTTGAAGAGGGACGCTCAAGGTGAAGGGGTAGGGGGAGGCTGCAATTTAGGTCATTATGGTTGCAGCCTTCCTTAATTGGACTAGCAACTCTGAAGCTTTAAAGTCATGTCAGACTTGAGATGGCACTTCCAAAATTCCAACACAATTTTATCCTGGACGTGTGAGTAAAAATCCTGGGAGAATATTTGATGTGCAACGATGAAGCTAAATGGTAAGCCCTTTTAGGGTTACTTAAAATTAGCTTCAGATGTCACTGAATTAGCAGTTGCAATACTTTTTTTTTATGATGCAACCGCAAATATCAGTGTTTCTGCAACTGCATTGACATAATATTTCTTTATTAGCCCTCTACAATTTCTTGCATTAGGAATTTGTCAGCCAACATTCAGCACCCCTGGAGCAGTTGGGGTTAAGGGCCTTGCTCAGGGGCCTAACAGAGTAGGATTCCTCTGCCAGCCGCAGGATTTGAACCAGCAACCTTCCAGTCACAGGTACAGCTCCTTAGCCACAGAGCCACCGCTCTGCCCATAACACTGGCAAAACTACATGGTAACTCATAATCGGAACAAAATGTCAGTTTAAGAAAGTTCAGAAATATTTTTATTACCTGGTTTCACTGAATCAGATTAGAAATATTTTGGCAATACTAGGTTTATGTGTAAGGCAGACGAAGCAATCCTGAGAAATTTTGTTTTCCAGCTTACTGTGAACGATCAGATCCTGAATCAAAGCAGTACTTTAAAAAATATATATATTTCGGTATAAAATTGTAGGTTATATATACTCACACATTGAAAACAGAAAAACAGAATGGGGCGTTTACTACAGACAATTCCAAACCTGTGCACAAGCAGGCAGATAAATCGTGCCTCCCTGTCTTGTAGAAATCCAAAAGTGTGAATTTAACCTTTTGGTGTAAACTATAATATAAGAATGCAATATGTTTACTTTAAATCATCTATAAATGTTGAAAATACAGTCCACTACCCATTAAAGCTGAGCTTTAACAATAATATAGCTGTAACTGAACTGGCTCCTACACACTAATAGCTGATAGCTAATAGCGTACTGGTGCACTACAGCTGCTGTCACATCATCTAGATGGGGCTGCACACTGGTGGTGGTGGAGGGGAGTCCCCATTACCTGTAAAGCACTTTGAGTGGAGTGTCCAAAAAAAAAGCATTATATATGTGTAAAGAATTAGTAGTAGTAAACAGAAGCCATGTTGAAATCTAGGTTGTCCTAACACCAGTAACCCCCGCAACCTCTCCCTTATTAATAGTTAACATGATATCCCAGATTTCTTCTACGTGTCTCTAGTTCAAAACTGGTGAAACAAACTTTTTTTTAACTTTTTTTTTTTCACACCTGAAGAAGCCTCCACGGCCGAAACGTTGTGTTCTCTTTCTTCTTTTTTTCAGCATGGAATAAACCTATTACTTGTTTTTTTTAACTATGTAACAGAACTAATATAATGTCCAGAAATGTGTCGTATTATTTGTCGGGCAGCTCGGGAGAAGAGGGGGGATTTCTCTCTTGTGTCAGCCACTCCAGCTGTAGGTGTAGTTGGGCCACATCTGATCTGAGCTGAGCGTCTGGGGAGTACTCAGTTTCCGTCGCCCAGTGTGCAGGTGTGCAGACCAGTCACTGTAGCTGGATGTTGCCCCCGGGTCTGGATGGATCTCTCGTCAGGCTGGGGGTAACATTGCCCTCACCAGCATGCTCTCCTGACTGCTCTGCCTCTTGCAGGTGCCCTCCACATCCACAAGACAGGAGCGCGGAGCAACCTTCTTCCCGCAAGAGCCCGGTCTCCATCTTCCTGTGCGATCTCCAGGAAAAGGACTCGGACCTTACGGGTTCATCAATTCTCAGCTCGGACAGGTCCGTGGCTTCGCTGCCTCAGTGGGTCAGGAACACCACACACCACGCACAGCTCTAGCAGATTGCTGCCAGTCGGCAGTGAGGACTTTAGCCGTCTGGACATCAGATGCTGTGCCGGGCTGCTAATCATGCCTCTGTCGGAGAGTTTCTCCGTATGCGTTACAGTGACAATGCGGGAGTGGGAGGAGCCGCGGCGAACCGGTACAAGTCGACGCCCCTTCTGAGTGGGTGTGAGGTTAGCGAAAATGAAAAAGAAACCCAAAAAGCGGGAAAAACAAAACAAAAAGAAAAACCGCGGCATCCAGGCTGGACTTACCCTACCTAATGGGGTTCAGTCTGGAGGAACAGGTAGTGCAAGGCCAAAACAAATTACTCCAACCTGTGAAAAAGCGTCAGCCTGCCCTGGTGCAGCACTTCCTTAACTTCAGTGTCCATAGACGCTAATCGGCAATTGGGTGTTGTCTGTTGTAATATGTCCCGAGAGATCAGCGCGATTAAGAATGTATTGTACAGTACATATGGCATAGGGCAGAGCAGTGGCTCTGCGCCTGTGGCTGGAAGGTTGCCGATTTGTATCCCCCGGCCGGCAGAGGAATCCTACTCCGTTGGGTCCCTGAGCAAGGCCCTTAACCCAAACTGCTCCTGGGGCGCTGTACAATGGCTGACCCTGCGCTCTGACCCCAAGCTTCTCTCCCTGTCTGCGTGTCTCATGGAGAGCAAGCTGGGGGTATGCCAAAAGACGAATTCCTAATTTCTAATGCAAGAAGTCGTATAAACTGATCTCTCTTATCTCTCTTAAACAAATCTACTCCAAACATGTAGCAAACATTAGTGACACCAGGCACTCTGCAGGGAGCAGCTGAGGAAGACTCTGGCATCATTTTCCTCCCCACGCACCTGACATTGGACTTGGAGAATCTTGGTCGGCGTGGGGGGGGCACAAGGGAACCACATGGTTTGGGATGGCCTAAGAGCCAGTGAAGGACTACATGGAGTTTTATACTGAAGGGACTGGATGATTTAATTGTACTTTATTCCAATCATTTATACTGAAATCACCATTAATGAGTACTGGTATAGGTTAAACTTCTGATTCTCAGATGATCAGTGTTCATTTATCACTGTTTATCAGCAACTACAGTTTTGTATCAGGATCATTTTGAATCATTGTACTTCTGGTTAAAATTATATGAAAAAGCTTGCGGTGGCTCTGTGGACGAGGATATGTGCCTGTCGCTGGAAGGTTGTCAGTTCGTATCCTGCGGCTGGCAGAGGAATCCTACTCTGTTGGGCCCCTGAAGCAAGGCCCTTAACCCCAACTGCTCCAGGGGCGCTGTATAAATGGCTGACCCTGCGCTCTGACCCCAACCTTCTCTCCCTGTCTGTGTGTCTCATGGAGAGCAAGTTGGGGTATGTGAAAAGATAAATTCCTAATGCAAGAATTTGTATATGGACAATAAAGTGATCTTATCTTATACTCATGTTATTAGTCGGAGATGGTTTCGGAGAAGAATGCTGCCGGACTTCCCATCTGGGAAATTTGTTTGATATCTGGGTTCCATGGGGTTTCTTTGCACTGCTCTTGTCAGTAAGTGCCTCTGATGAATGAGTTGTATTATGTCTTTCACATGTTAGGCAGCTATAGAAATCGTTGTGTTGTGGCGATATCTTTATTGTCACGCCCTCTGCAGCCAGAGGGCGCTCCTTCTCTGTCCTGTCCCTAGTTTCTGGTCTGCTGTCCTTCCTGTCCCTCTCTTCCTTGGGCTATATATTTCCGGGTCTTGCACTCTGTCCTCGCTCAGCATTGATGTTCGGATGTCCTGAGACCCGCCTAGCACCAGGGCGCCCCACGTCCGCTCCCTGAGGGCATAGGTTTCTATACGGCATTCCTGAACTCTTTGCACTAATGAGCCCGGGCCTTTTTCCCGTCTCGCCGCTACGCATATGGGTCTTTTTCCGCTCTCCTGCTCCCCACGGTTAGTCCCTTTGGACGTCCGTGACATTTATGTGATCGGGAGAATGACAGATTACTGTAAATTGTTGTGATTGCTATAAATAAGTGAGCTATTACATATTGTAGCAGTCTCAGGTTCACGTGGGTATGCGCCCTCGCCGCTGCCGCCTCAGGTCAGCCCCCCACCATCAGGGACTCGAACCCACGTGAACCCAAGATCGCTACAATATGTTATTATTCATGATGTTTGTAATGTACTGTCTATATTGTGTGATGATGTCTATTGTAATGTGTATGTCCTGAGAGATCAGCATGAATACGAATTCCACTGTACACGTAAGTTTGGCAATAAACTCCTCTATTCTCTCTCTACTGTCTAAGGTAACTCTCTGGTCTATGAGTCTCGGATGCATTGGTGATTCTGGGCGATGAACAGAACCTGTGGCAGGATAGTAAGAGACCTAGCACCCTATATAATTACTAGGTGGTGCAGTCATACATGAGGCAGTAATAATTATTGTCTGTGGGGTCACCTTACCATGGCAATTGCCATAGGGGGGTAAAATCATGAGTTAACATATTTTAGATGTATAAAAACTGCATGTGGGTGTCCTTAAGCATTATCAAACCTTGGCTCGGTGGTATAATTATTCATATTTCTTTCCAACAGGCCTGCATGTAAGAAATAAAAGATGCTTTTGTCATTTAGTTGTCAGGACATAATTGTTAATATTGTTAAGACTTAAGATGTCATAAAATATATAAAAAAAAACAATAGGTGCAACCTGAACTGTTAAGATAGCCGTGAGTGGGCAGTGAGAGACAGGATCTGAAGATCTTCTATGGTGGTTAATCAAAATTGAAGAATAAACATATGACACACAGAAAGACATCATACAAGGACATGGGAGAGAGAACATTCAGAGAACAGAGATGAAGAGAGAGAAAAAAGGAATTAATAAAAGGAAGCAGAAGCACCAGGTGAGTGGACTTTGTTCAGGTCTTGAATTTGGTGACGCACGTTTAGAATAGATAGAGTCCCTGTCATTTCTGCATATCTGGAATTATAGGAAGGGAATTTTAGTTTTGGGTGGAATTCTGTTAATTTAGGACGCCTGTGTTTCTTTAGTTGGTCTGTCAAGGCATTATATAGGATTTTAGGTGACAGGGTTAGCATTCTGGGTTTCTGGGTCTCTAGAACTTGACCCCCTGAGACGTCTTATGTTCTAATCTAGTGTAACGCGACAGGTTCTGCGAGGATAGAAAGAGGAACTCGGGCTCTTGTTAAATGAGAACACGGCGCTTTATTAATCGGACGTCCGTCCGGCACAGCAACCACAACAGAGAAAGAAGGTGATAGAAACGCAGCCTACAACTGGGGTCCATTCGGGTACAGTTACACAGGGATGGGGTGGTAATTGGGTACACGTATAAAAGGGGTGCGAAACCAGGGAAACTATTTACATGAGTCCGGACGATCTCGCCAGGCGAGGGCGCTACAATAGTTCTGATTATGTAAACGTTTATGTTGTATGGTGTGTTGTTTAGTTATTGTTATTGTAAATAATTATTCATATGAAGCCTCTGCTCCATGAATTAGGATGCCCTAAGTGAAATTTGTGATGAAACTCCAGTACTTTCTGCTTTTTCTAAACCATGCTGCCAAACGGCAACTTCACGTGTTAAAGCTCGTGGACTTTTTAAAAATACGTTTTTATTTAAACACCAAAATAACAAAAAATGAGACAATATTGAGATAGATACAGAAATAAACACTTCACAGCCAGAGGAATTCGCAATTGTAAAAACTAAAAGTTATATTTTAAAATATTTCCGTTGTATGTCTTGCCTTTTGATTAAAGCTCGTGCACTCGGCCTTTCCGTGTTTACATTTGTGACTTCTCTCATTTTGTGGTACAATATCCTTGATTGAAATTAATTTTCGTAGCTTTGCACATTCTTTTTAACTTTTTTTCCGTAGCTAGGGAGGAGCGAAACCTCTCAAAGTTAAAATTAATAAAAAAACGTATCCGTGTTCAACAATGGTGCAAGAGAGCTTCTTGGACTTGCCACAATGTCAACAGAACATTAAATAGTTGGAAAACTGGATATAAAACATAAGACAAGAAAAACATTTTGTATTTTGTAAATACACGTTAAATTTAATTGAATAACTTTTTTTTCTGCAATTCTGTCGTTATAACAGCAGTTATAGCATGCTAATTTGTGGTGATTTTGGATTTCTCATAAAATATAACTTTCTTCATGTTTTTATTTGAAACTGGACTAAAATATTCTCTAGTTGCTGTATACAAATCTGTTCTGAAATGTCTATTATAATTGCCCTCAGAAACATTGGTTCGACAGACGGGCGGACAAATTGAATTATTTAACTCCGGTTTTAGAATAGTTTTTTTTTAAATGTTAAAAGAAAAATGTTTTACCAAGCAGTTTAAAGGGGAGGGGAGGGGAGGAGGGAACCAGCTGCTGGCAGCTATTCCCCTGGAAATAATGAATTCCAGGGGAATACATTCATAGAGAACCCTGCTTACAACCTAAACAGCCGCTCTTATAACTAAAAAAAGTGCTTTCGTACAGATAGGAGTAGCTGCACGAATACCTGGAATTATTAAAACCCAAATTCTCATCTAAGTTGAACATTTTAACTCGACATTGAAGTAAAACGCTCACACTACTGCTTCCTTCGGAAGAGAGTATTTGGGTTACGTCACTTCCTCTTACCGCAGCAGGCGTGTTTAGAGTTTCGGTCTGACCTGAAAATACTGAAAAAATAATAAAATTGCGATTATTTCTGGGATACCGCAGCGTTGTGTTTTGGTTGGATTATGCATTCAACGTTGTCAGGAGTCCTTTGGAAAATATATGTGACGTGAAAGAAGGTGGGTTTCATTGAGTTTCTAATTCAAAACAGACCGTGTATAAATATTTGTAGCCATGCAGTGCACCGGAAATTCGCAAAAAGCAATATCCTGAAAACTATCGAATTGTTTTGGGAAAATGAATACAACTTTGGCGAAGTTGAGGTATTTGACAGTGGCCGAGTTTGATGTAGGATAACATATTTGTAAGGAAAAATACTTAATATCAACAGATAATAAGGTACATACATCTTAACACCGGTTTACGGGGCCATTGTGATATATGATGTGCGAAATTTATAGTCATTTTGTGTGTTGACCTGGTTTTCCTTTACAGTTTGCATGAATTTACCGTGCTTAAAATAACCAGGGATGTAATATTGCTCAGCTTTTATGTATCGTTCATCATGGTAGAAGGTCGTATTACAGGCTACGGTTGTAAACATGTTGAATGTATATGCAAATATTCATCACAAAACATTCGTAAGGTAGAGTTCCGGACTGTTGAGCTTTATCGCTGGTCTAGACTCAAAACAATAAGAACTGTCTTAGCACAGTAACCTTACTTAAATAATAGAACTATCGATACAAACTTAAAATACCAGCTAAAACGATTAAATCCTAAAGAACACGGACGAATTGTACTTCGTCATCTAACATAAAAGTAATGCTGAATGTGATAGATTTTACTATTACTATTCTGCAATTTCCCTCACGGGATCAATAAAGTATCTATCTATCTATTATAGAAACTTGCGAATATTTAAATATGGAGATACCTTTTAACCCAGTTGTCCAAGCAGCATCTGTGACTTTTTCTAAACGTGCTGTACATGAACGCCGGTCGCACCGGTTCATTTAATTGAGTGATTGCTTTTTCAGTCTTTGGTAGGTTGCTAGGTCTTTGAGTCGATCAATTTCAAAATTTGCAAAAAAGTAAAGGTATCGTGCAGATGATGGTGTTGCGAGTTCCTGTGCAGTCAGAGACCTCCAAGTTTAATATACTTGTGTACTGTACAAGTAAAGCACATTGCAAAAACATAGATTAACACTGTATTGCCACCTCCCTGAAAATAGATGGTTCCTTGATTTATCTGGCTGAAGTGGAAGTAGGCGTCTTGATCAATCAAGTGATTAGTTCTAGTAAGAGCACTTTGGAAAATGAAGAGCTACATTAACATCGTATCGTTTTGCTATAGGTCTAGCTTCATTGCTGCTCTCTTTTAGTTTTGCACATTTATTCAACTACCAAAGTCTTCTTTTTTTGAGAAACAAAAGGCTTCCATCTGTTGAAACTGAGTTACTGCTCCACACATTTCTTTTTATTCTAAAAAATAATCTTCAGACACCAGAGCTTGTGAGTTCAATTCTATATGTTTAACAATTCTATATGTTACTTTTCATGTTTCATAATATGTGCGTCAAAAATCACCCATAGCAGCTAAATGACTACGGAAAACAGATTATGTTGTGTTTTATCAGACACCAAGTGCATGCTACTAGTTCTTATCCTCTCCTTGTGTGAACTTGAACCTATTGTGCATTTAGAAGACCTTCTCTCTTCTTAATGTCTTTTTTCCTCTTATGATAATATCTGTCAAATATTCTGGTACAACAATAGACTGGAGTTTATCTACAATGCTTCATGAGTTTGATTTCATTGCCTTCTATGTCTTTTAGATGAGCACCTGTCGCTGGTGTACCCCAGGTGGCTCTGAGGCCACTGAGCTGCTAAAGAAATACTCTTCCAGGTCACTTTCTCCTGAGGAAGAGAATGCTCTCAACGAGGACCTGTGCTACTGCTTGGAATGTGTGGTGGAATATCACAGAGCCAGGGATGAACTGCCATCCTTTCACAAGGTAACCTAGAAAAAGAAATATTGACGGCTGCAATGAAAATATCATACAATTTTTTAACCTAACATTAAAATATAGTTAAAAAAAAAAACAGTGATGGGTGTACCCCAAATGGCAGCATGTAATTGTCAGAGCGCCTTTGACAGTGGAGTTGAGGTCAATTGACCAGACCTTGCTTGGTAAATCAGACATTCAACACATCACCCAGTCACAAATTACAAACTCAGTAGTCCAAATCCAGAGTATCGCCAAAACTAAACTGGTGAGAGCCAGAAGAGCACCTTCATAGAAAAGGTTGGGAATGTGCATTCAGTATGAGGAAATGTTATTGATTGGTCACTTGAACAGTTCAATTAATCTCATCCCAAGTCACATCTAAATAATTATTTTTTTAATTTTATTTTGTAGAGTTGCTCACAAAAACATTAATCAATTGCATTAAGAGGCAATACAGGTAAAAAATAACCTTTCACAGACTTGAAAGTGAAAATATAGGTTAATGTACATCAGGGTATTACGCTAGTGGACATTGTGCTAACATTATATTTCCAGAAGTAAAATACATAACAATGATACTTTACTAAATGCTTTATATATCGGTAGCTATAAAAGTCTTGAGTTTTAATCTTCGATAAGTCTTTCATTAGTTTTTTAATCTTTCGGTACAAAGTTTCAGTTTATCTTATGTGGTATGAGCCAAGAGGATATTTGAATTCACTAAGCTACTTTTCTCTTTTAATTTGAAGGACAGTGACTGAAGATAATGTAGCACATTGAGTAAGCATAATACAAGATACTAAAAGCAGTTTTCTTCTCCTTGATGTTCTAGCTGTTGTGGAATTTGGAGACTTCACGTCTCCTTGATCGTTTTACCCAGTCATGTGATGCAGAGCTGGAGGAAGATGATCTGTTCATAGTAGAGGATGACCAAGAGATCTATGTGCCAAAATTCACGGGACCTGAATATGAGAATTTTCTCCGAGTCCCACTGCTTGAGATACTTAAGTATCCTTACCTGCTGGAACACCGTGAAATCAGTGAGTCATTGTTTACTCCTGTCATTTCCTGTCTTTTGTACGGGTTACTACGTATGCCCTTAACCAAAAGCTCACTTCTGACGTAGTGGGTTTACAAAGAACTTTGTATATCTCCTGGATTAATTAGCAGTTTTTATTTGCTTATATTTGCATGTGTTTCTGAATCAAAACCTAATTTCCTGAAGGGCTGCTGAAAGAGAAATGAAAGGGAAAGTATGAGCTTCATCACCCAGTTAGCTGGTATTTCCTGCGAATGTGACAGTCAGATCCTAATATTTGAGGATGAGAAAAACGCAAAGAAACATTAGTCCTCAGATGAGGCAAATGACTCAGGTTTTGAAAATGGTCTTTTTTTGATAAATGCAATTACTATAAGGATACAGATTGCTATTTTGAACTTGAATTACTAAGCCACATACCAGGTGCTTCTTACTAAGGTTGGATGTTCTTTGGAATGGGGGTACTTCTTGAGCTTTCTGAATGGGGGGGTAGTGGTCGCATGTTTTTTATGGTTTCTTTCTTCCTTTCTGCTGTTTGTGATTGGTGGGGGCAAGGCAGGGCACACGCATGGATTCACATGCATCTGGAGCGACAATTTAGAGACATTAAGTAACCTAGACAGCAGGTTTTGGACTGTGGGAGGGAACCAGAGGATGCAGGGAGAAGCCACTTGGGCATGATGAGAACAGGCAAACTCCACACAGTAGGTGCTCCAGGCCAGAATTGAACTGGGGACCCATGAGCTGTATAGCACTCTGCCAACCACCATGGGACTTTGCCAGGCAGGAAAAGTATTTATTTCACACGGTTTTAATTGCTAATGTGTAAATTAAAATCCCCAAAAAACTTTATAAAGCCCCTGAATTAATAAGCAGTTTTTCAATTAGCAGTGGTTGAATAAGTAATCAAAAGTTACACGATCAGGTATACTGCCATTTCTTTAAAAAAACTCAGTACTTATATGGTGAAAACATAATGGTAAATAATAAATTATTTCTCCCCATCAAAAATCATTTCCAAAATTAAATTGAAAAATTATTGTTTTGGGAAAGTATAAGCTGTACTTGACTGTACAAATATGCTGCACGTTATGACATCTTAAATAACAGGTAGTGTAATATATTTAGGTACAAGAGTCAAATTGCTGAAAGAAGTATTGTTTTCACAGTCATTATCAGCAAAAAGTGGAAAAGATATAATGAGATGCATTACAAATGCAATATTTCATTGGAGTATTGGAGCCAATAACATTTGAGTTTAAATGCTTCTTGACATAATAATGCTTGAAATCTGATTATTTCAGACACAGTCCAGCATAGGAACTACTATGTATGGTTTATCGCCGCTATCTCTTCTTCCTGCAGATGAAATGGATTCTACATTCTAAGACTGAGGTTGACTAGCTATAGTGCAATATGCCACTTGTTTGCTTTTAGATATACTGACAATAAGCTAACTTTAAATGTTGAGTGATTTCATTGTGGTGTTCTCTGCACATCAAGGAAACACTGGATTTAATGTACAGCTCATTGTGATGGATGCTTTTTTTTGCAAGGGAATGTGTTAATAATGGTTTGCTTACAAAAAACTTTAAGATTGCTTAAATAATACCTCACTGTTGATGCACATTTACTTATGTATTTAGTGCTGTTTAAACAATTGTATTCCTTTGGTTGTGTTTGTAGAACAACACTGAAGACCAAAAATGTCACCTGTAGCAGTTATTTCTGATGGTATTAAAAAACATTTCTTGGTCTAATTGAACCAATCTATCAGACCAAAAGAGGTGATACTGGCCAATGCTTTCAGCCAATTCACTCCTGAAATTAAAAATATATTAAATGATTTAAAAGGAAATTAAATCTGAATACAGGAAATGAACTTAGTTGTCATAAAATGTTAAAAGACTGTCATGGTCTGATTTTACTGTATTGCAAAATGTGTTTGCAACCAAGTAAAATATTTTGTTTGTATTCATTTGTAGATTAGCACTTATGTCTCAGATTAACTTGTAAGGCTTTTACAATAGATTTGATTTTGCTGTTTTTGCCGGCATAGATGCTGTTACTTATATCACAGAATTTAGACACCGATTTGTCAATGGTAACTCCTAAAAGAGGATAAGAAGGGTCTGTCTGCCAGGTCTCTGTGGGTTATTGAGATTACAAAAGTTCTGTCATGATTGGTCAGTTTTAGTTCTCATTTGGTCAGTAGGGTGTTATGTGTTCCTGTCGCTAGCAATTGCATGTGTTTTTGTCCCCTGAGAAGAAGACATCAGTCTCCCAAAATAGTACAGAAATACTTTGACGGCAATAGAAACTTTTAGGCAGAAGAGACTTCTTGGGTCTTAAGTGGCACAGGCATAACCTTTGTAGAACATGTTTAATCCTTTGGTGGAAAACCTTTACTCCAATCCAAGGTCTTTGAAAGGTATATCAGTATTGGGTAATGCTGCAGACTAGTGCTAGGAGCCTCCACACCTCTGTGCTGCCATGGATAGATCATAATTACAAAAAAAACTGAAGTTCATTTCATTTCTGAATCATATTCCTCACTATTTAAATTTAGTTTTAGATAAATAAAACATCAGAATATATTCAAGTAAGCAGCTGCATCAGCATGCGTAGGCTGCAAAGCAACAAGTGTGAAGGTTTATTCGGGTGGAAGCAGAAGGCTTCACAGCTGAAACGTTGTTTCTTGTTCATATTGTTCAGCATGATTTGTGTTCACAGGTGAAATGTGTGTGGAGACACTCTGCAAAATGGAAAAAGTGAACAGCTTTCAGGTCTTTGATAAATACCCTGGGATATACCTTCTCCTGGTTCATCCTAATGAAACCGTAAGTTGTTCTTTTAATTTTGCAAGTAAAGGGGTTTGAATGCAATATTGCAGTTAAACTTTAAGTATAGCATATTTTTCTTCATTGCAAAGTAATGTAAGCAGTATTACCATTGAAATTGGATTGACCCCCCTCATGTGTATTTGTTGATAATGTGCATTTCAGATAACCTGGTAAGAATCTGTTAGATATTGCAATTTAAAGAATGGTTTATACTAAGTTGACTATTAGAGTTAACTATCTTCATTGTAAGCAAGTATTGCTTTGTATTTTAACGTCACACAGGTTTTGTCATTTTAATTGCTCAAGGTTTAAAAAACTTTGAACAAAGCAAATAAAACAATTTAATTACTCTGTGTCCCTTTTCTGTCTACTAATGTTTCAGGTGCGCAAATGGGCAATCTGCACTGCGAGGTCTCTGGGGAAGGTGGATCGCGATGACTTCTATGATCTCCAGGAGGTTTTCAGCTGCATGTGTCGTGCTATTGAACTTGACCTCATCTTGAACTCGGACTTATTCAGCTCTTACGTCCGAAAAGAAGGGAAAATGGTTCTGCTTCCACCTCACCTTTATGACTGTTCTAACTACAAAAATTACTGGCTGGGTAAAGCTCTTTTCTCCCATCCCCATTTTTCAGTTATTTTAAACAGAGTTGAACACAAAAAAATCTATTTTTATGCCAGTTTCATTCACTACCATATGTCTGTTCATTTGTGGATTGTCTTCATTTTCACATGTAAACTGGCATAACTGCTGTTACAGTTTATCAGGGCGTGTAAATGACTTAATTCAGAAAATCAAAATAGTTCTTTTCCTATAAGACATTAGATGTATGTTCTTTGTTTTTGTTTAAGTGTGAACTAATTTTATCTTCAGGGATCTGCATGCTTTTAACCGTTCTGGATGCACAGGCTATGGACTCCTTGCTTCTGGGCCCTGACAAACAGAATGACCTCATGCAGTCAATTCTTAATGCCATGGAGAAAGAAGAGGAAGGTATAACTCATATAAGACAATGCACTTTTTTGCACCAAAGGGTGCTGGGGAATTTGAAACAAGCTACCTAGCCATCTAGAAAACACTAGATTAGATCCTTGGATCAGTTACCTGCTAACAACCAAATAGAGAAGGCCAAATAGCCTTTTCCTGTTTTCAAACTTTGTGCTTCTGTTAAAAAATGTATTAAAGAATATGATAGCAGTTGTGTGTGCAGTGGATGTTTTCTTCATGATCAATGTAATGTTTTAGGTTATATGCACTTAAGGAGCTTTTTGTTTTGGTGTGGTAAAAGAAAATGTTAAGGTTCCGTAAGTCTCAAAGTCTGTCTCCTTTAAGCCCAATAGAAAAGCGCCAAAATATCATGCAGGGTTCCATAAAAGGATAGAACAAGTTATGCACTATCCTATCTGTGTTTTATCTATATATATATCCATTTTAGATTTGGACCGCATGATTTATTTTTTGGAGTTGAGGTTGGTGATTTATAATATGGAAATCCACAAATTATAATTAACCTTGAACCTGACTCTCCAAAAATGTCTTGATTTAATGGACAGTGTGCTTTTACTTTCAATTCTTTGAATCGGGTCTTGGATCATGAAGCTTAAATAGTATCCTTTTGTAATTTCTTCATTTTTAGATGAAAAATTAGATCCATTTTGGCCAGCGCTGCAGTGTTTTATGGTGATCTTGGATCGTCTGGGGTCCAAGGTTTGGGGGAAGCTGATTGATCCAGCTCGGGCCTTCCAGAGAATTACTCGGAGCCGCAGTTACCAGAAAGAGTTAGAAAACCTACGGCAAACCACAAACGGGTATGTTTTATTCTACTTTATTCCTTTTTAAAGCTCACAGTATGCAGTTAGGTACATGTGGAGGAGTGTACGGCACAATGTCTGCCCATCACACAGATTAAAGTTAGTTTATAGGATTTGTGACCTCCAGTATACTGAAAGGGAGGGAGTTGGAATATTCAAATAAAATAGTTATTTACTCCTCGTTTTGTTTATTTTGTAACCCACCCTTTAAAAATTGGATCTAATCTCCAGAAGCAGCTTTGAATTAAATAAAAATATTATAAAGTGTTCTCTGGTCTACCATAGTAATATAGTATTTCTTTTGTCTTGGAAGTTTAATAATTTTATGTGATAAAATAAGGAATATATGATATGGATATGTAAAGTACAATTTGATTGTTCAGTATTGACTGATTGTTTTTGTATACTTTTTCAATTAAGAACAAAAAAATCACTTTTCATTGCACTTTAATCTTTTTTTCTCTTTAAATACCCAGAACCAAAGTTGAATTAGAAGATGCAATGACGACATGTAGTCAGATCATCTATGACTGTAACAAGGAAAAAAGCAAGGTATATTGACTATAGTTATGGTATTATTAATAGTAATAACACTAAGGCTAACTAATCTTTCCAAGATCAAGAAAAAGTTTAATATCCTTAGAAAATTGATTTATTTTTTAAATTTGGCAGCAGGTGTAGTCATCAGGGTATTGACATAGTAGAAAAAAACATAAAATAATTTCCTAAGAGATAACGTTTCATTCCAATTGTAAAGTGGATACCATAATTTAAAAATTGTAAAAGCATGTCTTTTTGTTACTGTTTTTAGTAAGGAATAATCATGTGCCTTATTGTGTTGCAGGATTCTGGTACTAAGACAGCTGTTAATGCTGAAAATTGTGCACACTTGTACGAAGAAATGCATTCTTTGATGAATGTGCTTCAGTCTGATATGGGAAAGGAGATGCGTGTCCACAACAGCACTTTCTTGTGGCTAATTTCTTTTGTCCAGTCTGTGGTGGATCTCAAAGAACTCAGTATCGTCTGTATTGGAGAGATAGTTCATTTTCTGTGTGGAGAAATTAACAATTTCATCAATGGACAGATACAGAAGTGCGATAAAGTAACAGAATTTTTCATCCTTGTTCTCGTTTTCGTCATTGAGCTGCATCTCAACAAAAGCAGCATGAATATTTTGAATTACAGCAGCTCGATCTGGGTAGACGTGATTGTGAACTGTGCGGTGCTGTCCGTTTCAGCTTTTAGTGCCAGTTCAGATAGCTGTACTGCCAGAAAATCGTCCACTTCATCTTTGAGGACATTGTCCTGGCACCCCCAAGTGAGCAATGTGGTTCCTCAAGCATGTGTTCAAATAATACGTTCCCTCCTGAAAGAGGGGTGCAAACTGTCTGTAGAAAGACCAAGCAAATATTTTCTTGACTTGCTGAACAAACATTTGCGTGAGACTGCTTACAGAGAATGGAGACTCAGCAGCTCACAGTTAAAGAACCTACAGTTGTGTTTAAGGCAGCTTGTTGCAAACCTTAATGGAAAGGAAGAATCACCTGGCTCAGGCACAAACAGCGGAGATGATATGAAATATCCCATTGCTTCCATCAAGCAGGAGAGAGTGGAAGAATGGGATGGCTGTGAAAACCAAGATAATGGGATGACATCTACGTCCAATACATGTGAGAGAAACACAGGGCTTGGGGTCTTACATCAAAACTATCCCTTGAAACAGGAAGTCCCATGGGATGGTGAGGACTGTGGTCAGCTTGCCTCAGGTATACACCCCAATGTTGGCGATAGAAGCTTTAAAACTGACCTGCAAGACCAATACCAGCTACCCTTGAAAAAGGAAAGAACCTCTCCTGTACACATGTGTTCAGATTCAAATAAGTCAAAGATTTCATACTCATTTAAGAGTGAGATGCCTGATTCAGTAAGGTCGGATGACCTGAAATCTGAGCAAAATAATGGCCCTTTATGTAAAATTTCTGAAGTTATCTCCTGTCCTTCATCCGCAAATGATCAGAAAGATGATGTATCTTTTGTTAGCAAAAAGAACGAGGGGGGACAAAAATTGTCCAATGAAGAATGTGCTTCTGGATCCAAAAGGCCTTTAGAATGTATTTCAAAATATGAGGCAAGTTCAGGTGGTCCACATATTTCTAACGTTAAATACGGTAAATCGGAGAGCAGCGATGATGATGATGATGATGTTCCTCTTACAGTCATAATGTCTAATTTGCACAAAACAACAAGTTTGTATAAGACATTAAAAAACAGCATGCAATTAACCGATCCCCAAACTGACAGAGATGTTAATTTGCAGTCTTCAACTGCGAGTTCAGAGAGTACTTCCTTCCCTTCTAATTCAAACAAGGAGTATTCAGTGTCACGTGACAGGATAGAAAGGAGAGTGAAGTGTAATGCCAGAAGTGGGCAGGCATTAGAGAATCAGGATGTAGTGATTTTGGAACCTGATACAGACAGTGGTGCAGTGATTGTAATTTCTGATTCAGAGTCTGCCAAAGATGATAATGAGACACCGCATGCCAACAGTAAAGAAACGTGTAGAAACTTCAAGGCTCAAGAAATGACCATAAAGTGTGAACATTCAAAATCTATAGATTTGATGAATGATGTTTCTAAAAGTGCAAACAATGGAGGTACCGACTGTGGTTTCAACGAATATGATTCTCAGCTGTTCGAATTTGAAACTGAAGAGAAGGTGTTTTCTGCCTGGGAGGACCCAGAAATCAGTACTGTTGTGGGAGATACAGAAAATAAAGATGCCTCAAATGAACTACCGTTTCTTCATAGCAGTGAAGACTTAAATGACCTGTGTAATGACTGGGGTTATGAAACAGATTTTATTCCAGATGATTACATTCATAAAGCATCGGAATACGCAGAGGAATTGATAAAAAAACAGCAGATATCCGAGGACTGCATTGAAAAAGATCCTGAAAAAGAGCCGACAACTTCATCATTTAATAATGACACGAAAGAACCTCCTTGTCGAATTGCTGGTGAAAATGACGACCAGTCCCCGATATCCTTGTTAAAGAAAACTCTCAGCAAAAAGCTTGCCGAAAAACGGGCTTCTTCAGGAGCTAGCATCTCTAATGTGACAAAGGATTTAGGTACATATTCTAAGAAAGGCACAAATGGCAGGTCCTTAAAGAAGCCCAAAGAAACATCTTCCTCAAGCAAAAATAACTTCAAAAAAGCAACAACCACGCTGCCTTTGAAGGTAACAGGTCTGCCCAAGGTTCATTCACCTTCTTCTTTAAAGCCAGCTATAATAACCCCCAAAAAAGTGCGACAGCAGCCAGAGCCCAATTCCACTGCAGAAAAACTGGGCTTGAAGAAGAGAGAGCGTAAAGCTTTTGATCTTTCACAGAGATCTTTAGACTGTGTAGCTCAGCTAAGAAACTATGGACAGCGTTTCCGTATTGAGAATGAAACGCGCAAGTATAGGACAACAAAATCTTCACTACCTAGCCGACAGAAACAGATTCCCAAAAACAAAAGAAAGATGCTTGCTTCTCAGGATCTTCAATATTTCCGTCTAAGTAGAGGTAAAGCAACAAACATTAACAGGGATGGTACATCTGACCCGATTTTGGGCAAGAGAGCTAAGATATGCTCTTCATCCATCACACAGAAAAAAAGTAGTGGGCTGATAGACAGCCTGAAGGCGAAAGAAAATAAGCAGTTGGCTAAGGAAGAAAAAGATGTAATCTCTCCAAAAGCTTCAGCTGCAAAGACTGGTTGTAGTGATGGTGATGCTGGTGGCAATAAGTTATTTTTTCTGTCATCACTGCCCATTCCTCAAGTAGCTGAAAGCGATCAACTAGAAAGAAACTGTGATTTAACATCCAAAGAAATCCCAGAAGTTTCAAGCACAACTTGCAGTGCAAATGAACTGGGTGTTTTTGCCCAATTAAATACTGACCTGCCACAGGAGGTAGCTGGTCAACCACGAAAGCATGAATTCAAGTGTGACAGGGTGGTTGATGATGATGATGATGACGACGACGACAACATGTACCTCACACAGATGGATCCTGTGGATATGGAATTGTGTCCAGAATTGGACAATGCGGATAATTTTGCTCTTACACAGAGGGACCCTGTGGACATGGAAATCGATGAAAGTGAAAGCCAGGTTTGTAAAGATGATTCAGGAAAGGTGGATAGCATTAGGGAAGGGCAAGTAGCTCATTCTTCTTGGGCCGACACATATGCTTCGGGGAGTGTTGAGAAATCAGTAACATCGGAACAGAAAGACGATCACGTCTTCTTGAAGCCAGGTATTCCATCCCCGTACCTGAAACAGGCAAAGCCTTCCACGACTAAAATATATGCACAGAGCTCCAGGAATGCTAACTTGGCTCAGGAGATGGAGAAAACCTCCAAGCCATTGCCAGCTGCTTTAAAGATCAGGGCTGTCCGCCCGCCACCGCCTCTCAGGAGGTCTAGCATGCCGCCACCTGAAAGCAGATCACCTCTGCAGCCCAAGACCCCTGTTACCCCCAGTTCTAATCCACCGGAGAGCCGCATTGTCGCTTACAAACCACGAGTTCCTGTGTGTACACCACATGAAAGGACAGATTCTTCAACAACCAAGAAGCCTCCTCACTCTGCCTCCAGCTTCAGATTTAATCAGAATGATATGATTCAGCAGATGCTGAAATGGAACTATGAGATGTTTTGTAATTATGCCCAGTTTGGAACACCAGATGACCTCTGCTCTTTTCCATTAAGAGAAGTCCCCACCAACTTTACATCTTTTGAGGACTATTTTACTACCTTCTATCCTTTGCTGATGGTCAATGCCTTTGAAGAGGTATGTCTTTGGCCTTAAGGTTTGTTATTTAGCACTTAAGGAGCGATTGACTAATTAGTGAATAGTTGAATATTTTGTACTATAGCAGGAATAAGAAAACAAGTGGAAATTCAAAATATTTCCTTCGAAATGTTTCAAGGCCAGAGACTCCTGTTTAACATAATGTGTGTTTAATATGATAATATATAATATAGTTGTTGCAGGAAAAATATTAAAAGGCTTTTAAACGGCAAAGACTAAGATTGGGATTTGTTAGTAGAATCTGTAGTAGTGTCTTACTGCAATGTTCCAACATACAGTACCAACAATCATACTGCAGTGTGAACTTCACAAGAATTAAAAATGAGCGGTTTTGAAAAAATCTAAAATGAAGGTGAAAAGGTTCTGAAAACATTGAAATGTATTTAATTTTTAAATTTATCAGCCTTCTTTAATGAGGAAAATGCTTCAATAATACACTGCTTTTGTTTCCTCATTGTCTGTGTTGCATTTTTTACAGCTTGTAAACAATTGGAGACAATCGAAAAGCACAATTAGAAATTCATTGAGACCGGTTGCTGTTGAATATCCCAATGGAGTTTCCAATGCTACCTTCACAGGTAAAGTAATAAAAAAAACTGTGGAACAGGTACATGTGGTGCAGAACTGTGAAATATTTGTATTGTGTATTACCTTGTAGCCTGCTTTAAACACACTGGGATATTGTGTAGTGTAGGATTTGGGAAGGTTAGGGATTGTGTATAATTTCTAAGATTATATTACAGCATGAAAATCAGTGGTTTATTCTTTTTAACCACAGCCAGAGTGAACAGTTTGAATTCAGTGAGGGATTTGTATTGATCTCCAGGGTGCTTTGGTGCCTTGGTGACGCAAAAATCGTGCTGTTGAAAAAACAGTTTAATCGTTAGGTGTTGCTGTAGTCCTGGGTAGTTTTCTTCATTTATGAATCTTAATATTAGCATTTTTTGTTTTTAATTTAGCCTCACTTACTAGGTCTGAGGTGGACCGACAGCTATATCCTAAAGAGGAACACTTGGTTTGTCTGTGGCTGCACCAGCATACTAACACGTATGCAAATGAGGATAGTGAAATGTTGGAACCCATTCCAAGCATTGGCTATGTCTTACGAGCAAACATTTCTCATGGAGGTAAGCAATGAACACTTCTTTATATACAAGCAAGATTCTTTTTTTAAATTCAGTACATTTTTCAATAGTTTATCCTAATCTGTTAACTTAAACATATAATGATTACATGCTACTCATTAATTTTAATAAAAGCTTCAACTTTGTTATTATTACTATTACAGATCGCAACAGTGATAATTAATTCCAGAGTCTGGTTTGGACTTTGTTTTGTGTAATTTGATGCAGTGTATTCAAGTGTTATATTTTCTGTACTAAGTGCTATTCAGTTCAGTTATCAGTTTTCTTTTTCCCTTAATTTTTAGGGGACACTCCAACCCTTACACTCACTATACAGACTCGAGTGAGTTTTTCACTTCAGAAGCTGCCTGTAATGTGTGAGGTGATAGGATCACTCATCAGCACTATTCGGGGGTTTAAAGGTTTGAGCATGCTGAGAAACAGCTTGATGGCCAGACCTCTACTCTCACCCAATGCTGCTTACTTTAGTTTTGGAGAACAGAAGAATGTCTGTCACATGCCTGTGAGTATTAATTAATTTCTATTAGCCTTTGTCTGTTAGCTTTTATATTCAGTTTTTCTGTTTTTTGGTAGTGCAATGTCGAAAGTTAAATATCAGACTTAACCTTAATGTGGAGACTGGTAATTTAACATACAGTGCCCTCCAAAAGTATTGGGACAAAAACCTAAAACTGACATTTCCCTATTGTATTCACAAGAAATTGAAATTCACGTAAGTCCAGAGTTCAGAGGGTCACCTTTTATTTTTAGGATATATTTTGCAAACAGAAAAATATACTACCCAAGCATACTAGATGACCATAAGTATTGGGACAGTTAATTTAAAGCAAATTAAAGAAGTGAAAAAGTCAGTATTTTGTTGCAAATCCCTTGCTTGCAATAACTGCGTCACGTTGTCATCGCCAAACGTTTTGGTTCTCCACTTGAGATGCTTTGCCAGGCTTTAACTGCAGCCTCTTTAACTTGTTGCTTGTTGGTCAGGCTTTCTGCCTTCAATCTCTTTTTGAACAAATGAAATGCATGCTCAGTTGGTTTCAGATCTAGTGATTGACTTGGCCAGTTTAAAGTGTTCCACTTTTTCAGTCCGATGAACTCCTGTGTTTCGGGTCATTGTCCTGCATAATGAACTGCAGCCCAATAAATCTGGTGCCATGTTGTCTTACATTTTCAGACAAGATCTATTTGTACATCTCTAAATTAATCCTACTGCCGCCATCTTCAGTTAAGTCATCAATAAAGATCATTGAGCCTGTTCTGGAGACAGCCATACATACCCAAGCCATGAGACTCCCTCCACTGTGCTTTACTGAAGAGGGGGTATGCTTATGGTCATTGGCTGTTCCTGTTTTTCTCCACACTTTAGGCTTTCCATCACTTTATTGACCGATGTTTATTGTGGTCTCATCTATCCATAAAACCTTGTTCCACTATGTATTGTGGAACAATTAGGTATTTTTATGCACATTCCAATCACACTCTTCTGTTCTTGCTTCTGAATTTTTCTTGGTGAAGTCTTCTGTGGATTGTGGTACTTGAGATTTGCACCCCCGCACTCTGGAGATTATTTTTGATATCACTAACAGTAATTGTTTGTTTTTTTTCTTTTCACTTAGAAATATTTTTCTGTCACTGCGTGTGTCTTTTTGGACACCCTGTTCTCTGCCTGTTCTTGACTCCTCTAGTTGTTCCCTTTTTCTTAAGAACATTCCAGATTGTTGATTTTGCAATGCCAAGAGTCTTAATATCTCTGATGGTCATTATCTTTCCTCTCATTTTCAAAATGGTCTCCTTTTCCGTCATAGTGACTTCTCTGGTTTGCATGTTGGTTTTTGCTGATTAATTCCATGCGAAAGACTTGAAAAGCAGTTTCAAAAGACCTCAACCATGCCTAGACCTTCACAGCTCTTTTATGTGTGCGAAATGTATGTGAAACACTTGTAAACCTGTTGGTCCCAATAATTATGCTCATCTAAAATGTTGGGGTAAATGGAAGACATTTATGCATAAGAAAAATTACCCATAGATAAAGAGGATATTCTCTGCATTTGTTTCCAATTCATCTTGTGATTCGAAATCCAAATGCCCCGAGCATACGGCTATAATGGGGTAATTTAAGCTCTTGTCCCAGAATGTTTGGAGGGCACTGTAGAAATGTTTTTTTTTCTTTGTGTGGAATATAAAAACATGCATACAGGCTTTCTAAGCAGCAAGTCGCTGGTTTTTGGCTGACTAATCTACTGTAAGCATATTTCTGTGAGTAGTAGTATTACTGTAATATTTTTGTTTTTGTAGTTAAGTGCTGTTCAGAGAGTTAGTTGATAATATGTCGAAGTAAATGTTTTATTATGATGTTTTCTTAATACTCATAGGCAGCTGTAACATATAGTTGTAAACCTGTGCTTATCAGATGTTCAGCACCAATTGGACAAGAAGCATATCCCTCGATGGGAGCACCGCAAACCTGCACCCGCCCAGCTGCATGCAGGTTTGCGGTGTGCAGTGTGTTTGACAAGAGCCTAGCTGATATTCCCATCCTGCCCTAGGCGGCAGTCACCAACTGTGTGCCACCACTTGGGGAATCCTGGGCACCGTCGCCTGGGCCATTTGGCTGGCCTTCTGTCCTTTACTTCTGCGATTGTGATTTGAAGGTTTCTGGTTTTTTGAGAACTTGGAAACAAGATTACCTTTCTGTAAAGGTTTTTTACTCTGACTTGTTTTTTTTCTGTTAAAAGGAATTCAATACCGATCAAGTAAAGGCCATTAACTGTGCACTTACCATGATAAAAGAGCAGAGAAGGACACCTAAAATATGTCTTATACAAGGGCCACCTGGAACCGGGAAAACCAGAACCATTGTGGGACTTCTTCAGCGCATTTTTACTGAGGTACAAAAAATGATATAGAAGCTCAAAAGGAGGAGACAAATTTCACTGACTCCTGTTTGCCCCACCTATTTCATTTCCAAATAAGTTAGTCTTGTGCTTTTTGATCATACAAGGAACAGCAACTGAGTATTGTATCTGTATGTGTTGCATTGAGTCAAAGAAATAGCATTTGTTTTTGTTTACAGGATCGGGAGAACCTGATGCCACAGGGGAACAGGATCTTTAAGGGCAGAAAGCCCAGGGTTCTCGTTTGTGCCCCATCAAATGCTGCTGTTGACCATCTTATGAGGAACATCATTGTGGATTTTAAGGGAAAGTGCAGAAATCGTCAAACCCCATTAGGTACAGTGTCATGTTTCTGTGACCGGATATTTGCAGTTTGTTTAGGTTGTGACTTATTAGACAAGAGTGACCACAAAACTGTATGTTCTTGTTTGTTTTTTGTTGTACAACTCAGGTAACTGCGGGGATATTAATTTAGTACGCCTTGGGATGGAGAAAGCCATTTCAGATAAACTGTTGGGATTTAGCCTTGATCATCAGATAAAGGTTAAAACAAGTAAGTCCACAAGAATACATTTTCAAACAGTGGAGAAGAAATTATAAAGTAGCAAACAAACAAGACAACTCATCAAGGTTTTTATAATTGTATTAATGGGTGGATTTATTCCAGACCTCATGCTTTACATTCTGCCTTCAATAGCATGGTAAATAAGGCTGTTTTCAGGATTAATAAAATAATACAGTCCTTCACTTATAAGTCTAGCCTAATTTTGAGTTCTAGGTGTATAATTTATTCATTCAGTGTTCATGTGTGTTCTTGTCACTGGACTGCTGAGGAAAATACTATTGTTTTAGAATTGACATTTTAAATTATACATGTTATTATTGTGATAGCACAAGTTAATATAAAAATAATAATTCTGATCAGGGTAGTAGCAGTTTTTTGATGCAGAAAACTTGTTTATATTCATTTTATATTTGGTGCTGGAGGCCCTTCGGTTCTGTTAATCGAAAATTTGAGACTTGAGATTAGTCTTTTAATATACTCTTTTTGAATTCTATGAGTGTGTGTAGGTTGTTTGGCTAATCCTGAATGAATGAGACTGAAGCATGTTTCTTCATGTTTCTGATTGTACAGAAAAGGGCCAAGAACATGACACTGGAATCCATAGGCGTAAAGAACAGCTTGATCAGGAGCTGGAAAGGGTCTCGAACTTGTTGAGTTCTGTGAATAAGAAAGACATTTTGAAGGTAATGCTCATTTTGTTTGCACAACCATTAAGCATTCCTCTCTGATAAAAATGGTTTGTGAACTACATTTTCTATATCATTTTGTGCAGCTTCAGCGGCTGACAGATGAAAAATTCAAGCTGCTTGAGGAGAGAAAACAGCTAGGACGTATGCTGAGGGAGGTAACCAACCTTTAAAATACTTGTTGACAAGTGTTGTGCTAGCAGAAGCCCTAGAAGGGTGTTCTGATATAGGTTGTATTGGCAATCAGCAATACGTGAATAAGATCAGTTGACAGATGAGTGTTTTTTTCTTTTTGTTTTTACAGACCAAAGTCAAAAAACAAGAAATCCAAACTAAAATTGTGCTGGATGCGCACGTGATCTGTTGCACTCTGAATACCTCTGGGAGCATACTGTTAGAATCTGCCTTCCGAAGGCTAGGGCACGACCCCTTTTGCTGCGTCATAGTGGATGAAGTAAGTATGTAGTCAAGGTGACAACATGAGATTTTTGTGAGAAGCATAACTTTTTTCTCTTTGTGTCCTCATCAAGATGACATAGCTTCCTTAACCTCCTTATGATCAGGAATTAAAACCTCAATAACTTGATAATAAACTGAAACTTTTACTGTAGCAAAGTAGTTCATAAGAAGTATCAAATGTTTTCTCTGTTTTTATTATTTACTAAAAGTGAAGCTACAGGAATTGTTTGGACTTCTCTTATTAAAGTTTTAAGTAGAGTTTTAGTCTCATTAGGGAAAATAGATAGAATCAGTAGTTCACACTTCTTTTAACCTTTCATGGAAAAAATTCAATTTAATCTATAACATGGTTGTCCCACCATAGTCTTTCAGTGTTTTTGATCTCATTTTTGAATGAATTTGACTTTGAAATATTCCTTTTGTTGTTGCTGTGTGCCTGAAGGCAGGACAAGCCACAGAGACTGAGACTCTGATTCCTCTCATGCATCGCTGTCCTTGTTTGGTCCTGGTTGGAGATCCAGAACAACTGCCACCCACTGTGGTCTCCCAGGTAATAACTGGTCTTTAAAACAGTACATCAGCCAATCCATTTTAAACTGTCTCATAGAATGCATGCAACACCTTTCTTTCATCTTTAGGGCTTGTTAATTGGCTGCCTTAACCTGCTCTGTCTTTTTCATGTTAATTTCCATTTTTTGTGTAGTGTTGATTATTTTCTGAAAAATCCATAAATTGATGGAAAAACAGAATTTCTGTAAGAGATATATTTAGTATTTAGTAAAGTATTCCAAGCCATGTTTTCATGCATAGATAATAGGTCATACAGTACAGTACCTCATGATGCCCCTAATTTTATCTCTGAGGCCGAATTTAATGGGACCTCTTCTGCTACTTGGCAGGTCACCAGATTGTAACCCCTTGGCAGCATCAGAATTATAAAGCACATTATAGAATTGAATTAAGAGCAATTGCTAGCTAGTAATCAGAATGAAATTTTGGGTAGCAGTCTTACACTAAGGTGAATAGAATCAAAGCAGTTACAGAAAGTTAATTCCCTATTTGTATCTTTTGAACCTTTTAGAAAATAAACAGTTAACAATAAATCAAAGGAAATATAAACAATAATAATGTTAATGGAGGACAAGAATAAACCACACATATAAGAAAACCTCACCTTGGAGTAGGTGATTATCTAAATCACCACTACTCTATGATCATGTTTGTTATTGACTTGGGTAAATATGAAAGCAGTAAATTGTGGCCTTAATAATCTGATAGTCCTTGAACAGCTGGGAAAACTCTCATCGTCACTTATTTTTATTTAGAAAGCAAAGGAGAAAGGGTATGACCAGTCACTGATGGCACGTTTATGGAAGTCTCTCCATCGGGAATTGAGGGCGAAACCGCACGTTCCCAATCCAATCATATTTTTGGCCACGCAGTACCGAATGCATCCCGATATCTGTGAGTTTCCCTCCAGATACATCTACGACAGGGCACTGAAAACCGATGGGTAAGAGGATGCTCTCATCCACAGAAATTCTAAATGTTTCATTTGGTAGAGTGCTGCCAGGGTATGGTGGCCATTAGTCTGTAATAATGTTAAGTAGTTACTAACTCTTGGAAATGCTGCATTTTTTGCTGTCAGCCCAGTAACACATCTACTGCTAACTGACAGATTGGCCTTTTCTACACTGACAACCACAGCACAATGTTTTAAAGGGGAACTGCAATGTTATTTTTATATTTCAGGTTTAGAAAGAATCTGCATTGATTAGTGCATTTCAAACCACAAGTGAAAGTAAAATATACACAGTAACGTTTAAGACCTCCAATTGACATCACAAAATAGACAGATTTTTCAGGTATGGGCAGCGTAATGGTGCCGTCATAATGTGTGATTCAGAACAAGGTAACACAACTATCGGTGGCTTGAAGTGGCCCTATTATATTGTATTCAAAAGCCTGCTTGTTTACATCTCTTAATCCAATAGGAGTATTGCTCTTGAGCTCAAGACAGTTTTGTTAACAAATGCTACATGTTAAGTTTACATGCAGATAACATTGGAACATTTCTGAAGTGAAATCTGCTGCACAACTTATCCATACTTATTCACTTGTACGTCGCATTACATTAGTCATTACAGTGACTAGTGAGTAGGAAGGGCCTCCTCACATCACAATTCTTGAGAACTCTTGCTCTCGACCCTCGTTAGACAAGTAGTTTGAGACATCATGGCTGCCTTTCAGTACTTTCACAAACTTTGCGATTTTGTGCTTAATTAGTAAAATTTGTAAAATTTTGCAGTACCATCAATTAATTTTGTTACTGAAATTTAATAACCGGTCTGAGAAACTAGGACTGCAGTTCTCCTTTAATACAGTTGCTAACTTCAATCCAGATTTCTGTAAAAGGAGATAACACCAAACCATGTCATATACTCAGTTATCAGTAAATCAATAATTCCTACTATTCAGTCACAAAAATGGTATGCGCAGTACTAACACCACGATACCAGCGGAATAGTGTCAGATTTGATTTAAATGCTACATTTTAATCCTCATATGTACTCTAGATATATTGGGACACTCCATCTCCAATTTAGTCTAGAAGTAAAATTAGATGGATTCAAAGAAAAATGGGCTGCCAGTTCAGTGCTCTATGAAATGCTGGACAATACTGTACCTTCTATAATGGCCAATTTTCTGTTGCAGTATGATCTTTAAATTGCAGTCTGCCAGTTTGTTTGCTAGTAACATTTGCAATTTCTTACTAAGATAAAATCATCAGGGAAAAAAAATAATCCTTCTGTTTGAGAATCATTCTCACTTAAGAGTTAGAAGAAATAACTTTGATTTACACTTCATTGCAGCGAAACTGCAGAAAAGAGGTGTGGAATAAGTTGGCCTTTCCAGCCATACATTCTCTTTGACGTGACGGATGGCTTCGAGACAAGAAACGAGGAGTACGTGAGATTTTGGGAGGGCATGAAGTAATTTGCTTGTTTACTTTGACTTGGATTAAATCAAAGTGTTGATTTATCTCCCAGCTTCAGATTACAAACCCGGTTATTTGTAATGGCTCTATGTTTGCCAGATGTGACTTTCTACTCAAGGAAAATCCTCTATTTAGTCAAAAGTTTGTAATTTGTGATTGACAGCTTCAGTTTGTTTTCAAACTGTTGCTTTCATTTTTTTCTGATAGTGCCTGAAAAATATTTGAATTACTTTTCATGATGTTTAAAAACCCACCAAAGGAGTTTCTGTGTGGCTTAAACAGTAAAGGTGCCAGCTACAGGCATAAATTGTGTCCTTAACATTACTAGTTCTCTCCTGGGCCATGTTACTGGTGAACTGGGACCAAGATTCACCAACTGCCAGTGCACTATAGACTGAACACTGGCTAGGATGGTTTGTGATTAATCAGGCAGAAAGTCTTGGCTTTGTGGCAACCAGCAGTTCCTGTGGTCTGCTGTAATGGGAGATACCCTGCTTCTCCAACAGAGGCTGACATTCCCATTGTATATTTAAAGCAGTTCAGGAAGAGAAAGTGCTATAGAAATGCAAGCAATTATTGTGTAAGAAAAATGTGTGTCTCATTCTTTTCTAAGTGGTACAGAACTTGCAGTTTCAAAATTAAATGTTCTGTGGTCTGAGTGCAACATACATGTCAGCATGTGCTCCAGAGTGTGATAAAAACAAGGTTTTGACCATCTATTTCACCTGTGTAAATGACGGCCGTGTTTGCTTTAATTGCAGGGTCTTGTATCTGAAATGTTTGAATATTATTTTATTTTTGCTGTTCCAGATACTTACAAAGGTCTGTTTTGCCTAATCATTAAAAGACAATTAATTGCAATTGTTTTTGTTTTGTAATTTCAGCTCTTTCAGTAACCTTCAAGAGGTGAAGCTTGTAATTCGTCTGATCAAGCTGATCTTTGAGAAGCAGGTCACCCGGGTAGGGGTTATCACTCCCTACAGTGCACAAAAGCAAAAAATCAAGGAGTACATCAACAAAGAGCAAAAACTGGACACAAACAAACATTTCCAGTAAGAATAAATAACTAATAATCTGAATAGCTGACAGGTTCATTATTTATAGATTTCTGGGACTTTAATCATCAGAATGGTATTACATTCTGAAGCAAAAGCAAATGTTATTAGTGGTCGTTGTAAAGTTATTAATGTTTTTTTACATTTTTATCAATCGGGTACAGAATAATTATATGTGGTCTGATGTTGTAAAATGTTTACCTATGTTTTCCAGGTCTGTAGAAGTGGACACTATAGATGGCTTTCAGGGTTGTGAAAAGGACTGTATTATAGTGTCTTGTGTCAGAGCCTGTAGCACACAGGGCTCTATTGGGTGAGTGACATCATACAGATGTTTCTTAAGAACTAAACCTGCTGTTTTTGCTGCTGAGGTCTGGAGGATGATTCAAATAGGAATCAGGTCAGTGAGACGAGCCATGACATATAGTTTCCCTCCTTAAGAATATTCCCCTGTCGTTTTCAATCATGAAGGAGCATTTCGGCATTTCTAGAACATCTAACTGTACATGGCTGTTCTTACAGATTATTATCTTATCTGATTATTATCTTACAGAATGCGTTTACTTATATCAGTGTGAATTAGCATATATTTTTTAACCATATTACTTTTCTTTGCAGATTTATGGGAAATCGTCAGCGGTTAAATGTAACAATTACACGAGCAAAATTCAGCCTCTTCATTTTGGGCCATCTAAGGACTCTCACGGTAGGTCTGAATGCTTCCTTCCAGTGGTGAATATTAAATTACTTTAAAACAAGTTGGTGAAGTTCCTCAACAATATCTAACAGCTGGGGTGTTCTTTGGAATTCGGGTATACTTGGAAATTCTTAAATGTCATTTGATCTCTGCTTGTAGGAACATAAAGACTGGGAAGCGCTTATACAGGATGCTGGTAAAAGAGGCACCATAATAAAGACGAGGGAGAAGGACTATAATGCGGATGCCAGGAAGATCTTTAAGCCTGAACCAGGGTTTTTAAGAAGTTTCTCCTTTCCACCAAAAGATTCTTCCTTGCTACCTAAGACAAGTACACCAACTGACAATCGCAGGATGAGCGCTGACAAATCATCAATGGTTAAGAACTCCGCCTTGCCAGCTGCACGGACGACAGCAACAGTAAGCAGATCTCAAACCTCAGATTCTTCAACAGCTGGGTTTCATGCTCCGGAAAAACCTGCAGCTCCTGCCCAACTTCCAGGAAAGCCTTCAACGTCAGGTAGACCGAGAGACCCTCGTCTGGCCAGTCGGAGTGCTCATATCCAGCAACCTCGGTCTACATTGGCTAAGAGCTCAGTCCCATCTCATCCACAAAGCAGAGTATACGGGACCTATGGGCAAAGTTCAGCTCCTTCTGACTGCAGAACGAGTGCTGCTGGCAGAAGCTCAACAAGCTGCTCGGCACAGAACTCTTCAGCGTCACGTCCCTCCTGGTGCAAGGACAGGGACGAGGACAAGGACTACAGAACGCCCTGCCCAAGTCGATATGACAGACCACCTCCGAAAAGATCGTCAGATCCAAGATGGTCCTCTTCACTGGAAAAGCACAGAAAGTCCTGACTCTTAATATTGTTCTAATTGTAATTAGGTCTGGACTACATGAGGGACAAAATGGCCCTGACTGCTGCAGTCATTCTTTCCAGCTGTGGACTGGAAGTGGGATGGAACTGCTCCATTTATTTTTTTTTCATTAAAGGGTACATAGTACTGACATGTAAATGATGACTTTTTGAGATGTCCTTTAACAAGATCTTGAAGCATCCGTTTCGTTTTAAAATGGTCTTCCTCATCCCTTGTAGTTAATGGCTAGAACAAGTGTCTTGTTAAAAAAAATCAAGCCACTTCAACAGTTCAAAACTCAGTTTGTTTTCACTCTCCTCTGTCCTTTAAAACCTTTATAAATAAGCCAGTCTAATTTGGCTGCTATTGAATGTTTTTTGTTTTGTTGATTTTTTTTTTGGTGTACAGAATTTTATTTTAATGCTGGTAGATGTTGAATAGTCCTGCTGCTACTAATTTGAAATTTAAAACTGAAAAGTGCTCAAGTTCTCTCCAGTTTCAATGCCAACCGTTTTGTTTCTATCCATTTAGAACCTATCCACGTTTAATTCAAGCATTCAACCTAAAGGATTTAATGTTTATGATCTTCAATTAATAAATACACAATAAATAATAAATCATATAATAGCTTAGTCAAGGAACACACCTAATTGTAGCTGTCAGCACTATGAATTTAGTAACCACAATATTCCAATATCCAACTGAAGCACGAGGTAGTTAACTCTGGTTATGAAGGACCTCTTTTCATCATGGTTTGTGAGTCACTCCTAAATGATCAATTTGTAAAAAAGTAGACCACAATTACATTTTCACCACTGAAGAAGGTACGGTAAAGTAGTTTGGACACCAAGGGAAGTGACAACACTAACAATCTTTATTTTTTAATGACTGCCTTTGGGTATCCCTCTCTTAATTGAACCACATAGGATAAACTGACCAATACTCTGTTTGAAGTCTCACAGATTGATGATTTAAGGGAATAAGACTGATTATGCTGTCTGGACTGTAGCTCTTCGGGACCAGAGTTAGCTTCCTTGATCTAAAGCATTCAGTATGAATCCTATCATTTATTTCATATTCCAAGAGCAGTAAACTATCCTGCTCACCACAGGAGACCTCCCTATCAGTTGTCAGAATGTAAATCTTGGATTTCTTTTTATTTTCCACTACAGTGCATTGCCTCTTACCTTCGTGTACCCCAAAGTAATGCAGCAACTTTCATTTTTTTGCTGTCATATGCCTGTTTTCTATGTGTAGTCCTATCAGCCATTTTATCTGTGGCTTTCTACTACTCATAAAAAGTGACATAAGAGAACATATTTCATTTCAATACAGAAGAATTGCATTAGCGATACCATGGCATGTGGGTGCTTAAAATCTTACAGACTTACACTTAAAAAGTGTTGAATTTCTCACCATCTATTAATATTTAATACTTTATGGCTATGTAATCTGAAGTCAAATTGAGTATTTTTTCGGATGCTGCAGCTTTTTACTTGGAAGAAGGGAGAAAATTTCGGCAGTCACTGGTGAGCTTTAAACTTATTCTTGATAGGTGGATATATGTTTGACAAGTACGTGGACAATGAAAGCCCTGATTTCAGTAAGAGCTTTGGTTCCTAATGTAAATGTCTGGTTTGTACAGATAACACCAGACCCTGCAGGAGCTGAAGTCTTTATATTGATATGCGTTTGATTTAAAAAGCTTTAAGTAAGTCTTTTACAGTTTTAAAAATGCTAAAAATATAATTTTTCCACCTACAAAAACATATTCATTGTTTATCAGTTGTTAAAGAATGGGGTCTAATGATGCCCAACTACATTTGCAGAGCTGTCAAGAGATCTGTGATTTCAGTATCTTTGGGTTGTGCTTTTTTTGGTAGCTATGCTCCATTTAGCTAGTTATGTTTAATTCACTTTCAGCCACATGCATTTTTCAAACCACTTGAGCATCGTCACAACCCATCTGACCTGCTGCCATGACTGACAAGCCTGGTTCTAACATAATTGTTAATCCTCTGGCACAAAACCTGGCAGCTCCCGATTGTCCTTTCTGAGTCTGAACTTCAGATTCTCTTTTCTTTATATTATCATCACCCCACTGTTATCAAAGCCTTTATGTATCATGTCGTACTTGTCTCTATAAGATATAGAGGATGTGTTAGGGTTACATCCTGAAAATGGGAAGAATGTAATTCAGGACTTATAAATGTGGTTGCATTTGTTTTTAGATGCCTGAAGTCTCTGAATTGCGCTAAGACCTTTTATTATTTTATCTCATAAATGGAGACTATGCAAACTGGGTAGAAGCAATTGATGCCAGAGATTAAAATGTCTTTTGTTGGCTTTTGTGTTTTTTTTTTCTGAAAGGAAGAGCTCTTCTGGCTATTTTTTGTCAGAAAAAATGTTTTCAAAAACAATTATCCGTTGATAACTGATTACCATCATACCCGTCGCCATTGATATGCTTTACTTCGGTTTATCCATTTTAAGTCTGCAGTAAAAATCCTAGCTGTTGCTTGATTTAGGTTAGCCATAAAAGGCAATTTTTACTTTTGTCTTAAATATATTTCCTACCTGACAAAGGCTATGAGAAAATCAGAAATAGTTGCTTATTTTTTAAACAGTAAATATTACTGATTTGAAAGTATGATCGATAGAGAACAACTTCTATATACAGCCAGAGCAGAAAGCGTGGGCTTTTTCGTTTTTGCTACCATAAAAGGCACTGGGTAGTAAAATACATGATCAAGGTGTGGTGACCTGAGCAATGAGTGTAATTGTGAACTTCCATTTATTAATACTGCTTTTGTGTTCTGGTGGAAAAAAAAAATCCCCTGCTTGATCTCGGTTTCCATACACCTTTCTTATGCAGTTGACATTCCTCACCAGGAGCTAACTGTTTGAAAAAAGGTGACGTATGAAGTATGATTAGGTGTAAGGTTTAATTCAGAAATTAGTAAATCAAGCAAGTGTCTTGAGAGTTATTTAATTGGTATCATATCAGGATTTTTGTACCACAAAAAATAGTTTAATCAAAGCTATGGAAGGAGTCAGTGAATGAAGCATTGTCTGTTTTATGGCTAATACTGATTTTAATGCCCCAGTTATGTGCTTTTGGCTTGCTTTCCTCTTGGCCTGTCCAGTGTAGATCTCACCCAAACAAGTCAAGTTTGATCATGTCAAAAAACAGCCCCAATTCCACATCTTTGTTTAACAGAATCTGTACATATCCATAATGCTTCCATGTAATCTTCAGTAATTCTAATATATTTCATTAAATGTCATGTGTATTTTCAACAACTGTTAAAATATATTTTTAGTTTTTATATTTTTCTACTAAGAAAGCAATTTAATACTGGATGCGTGGTGTCAAATACTTACCTCTGCTTGTCTCAATTACAATAAGGCTCTCGGTCAATAAAGTACTTAATTTGATTTACCTTACTGTAGTATACTGTATGTCTGCAATGCAAATGGAACTTATCTTTGTTATTTTTCTTAATGCAGAGCATCAAGACCTGTAGAACACTGGTGTCTGGCTTTTATTCCAGTTAAATACAGATTTCCTCATTTTAGTACCAATTAAATTAAAACATGTTTAATTGCTCCTAAAGTTTGTTCTGTCACAGATATTAAATTAACAACTAAAGCTTTGTTAACTTCATATACTATTTATATTGTATATGTATATAGAGTATGTACATCAATGCAAGTTTAATTTAAAGGTTAATTAAAATCCAGCAAATTCTTGCTCTAATGAACGTGTAGATTTGTTCTGTAAGCTCATTTGGAAGAAACAGCAGAAACAAGATACAACTGGGAGGCAGATGTTGCCACAAAGTAAAATGTTGTTTGTACTTATGGTGGTCTGAGTTTTGACTTAATTCAGGCCTGGTTGCTGGAGCAGTTGGCCTTAACAAGATGAATATACAATGTTTACTGGTTATCTTTTGTCATGTGGCGATGCTTTAACTGTGCCTTTGACCAATCTGATTTCCTAGTTAAAAGCATTAAAACAGTTTGGCTTTATCAGTTCCTCCAGCAACGTTTACAGCCAGGTGATGCAGATAATTTATCCCAGCTCCTGTGGAACTCATTTTTCAGTCCTGCAATTTACTGATATGTGTGCATACAGTACAGTTGCATATTTACTTTCATCATTTTTTGAACGAGATTTCCAGCAGTATTCTTTTCAAGAGAAATGAGATGTATATAGTGTTCAGTCCTATGAGAAGTTCACTCATTTTGGATGATAGTGATAGAGGTGTACGGCACTGTTGTGCAGTCGTTAGTGTTGGTGCCTTGCAGTGCTAGGGACCTGTGTGCTACAGTTGTATGCAAAGGTTTGGGCACTCCTGGTCAAATTGCATGTTTCACAGAATCTTTAAGTGAAAAGGATTAACACTACCTCTGCAGGGTACAAACTTAAACATATTTCTGCACATTTTAATGCACAGTTACTATTTATTTTCTGAATTAATGAATGAAGTCAGACAGTACTTTGTAACATCTCCTTTTGCAGAAATCAGCTTCCAGACATTTCTTGTAGCCAGCTGAGAGTTCTCTCCCCTTGCTCTAGGATGTTTTCCCCACTTTTCCTTGCTGAACTCTTCTAGCTCATGAATATTCTTAGGTCACCTTGCACAGCATGTCTGAGATCTCCCCACAGATTTTCAATAATATTTTAGTCTGGGGACTGAGTGGCCATTCTAAAACCTTCATCTTTCAAATCCCGTAAGTACCTCATGGTTGAATTTGAGGTAAATACTGGGGTTTTGAAATGTCATGGTGTCCAAACGTTTGCATACAACTTGTATCTGCGTGGAGTTTTTAATATGTTCTTGTGTTGACATGGATTTCCTCTTGGTGCTTCACTTTCCTCTCACAGTCCAAAGACATACTGGTAGGTTAATTGGCTCCTGGGAAAATTGGCCCTGGCGTGAGTGTGTGTTCCCTGCAGTTGACTGGCATCCTGTCCAGGGTGTATCCTGCCTTGTCCCCATTGCTTGCTGGGATAGACTCCAGCTCCACCACCATCTTGTGTTGGATAAAGAGGTTAGAAGAAGGATGGATGAGAAAAGTACTATATTCATATGCTCTGTTCTCCTACATTATAGGGCAAGGGATATATTTGGCTACATTGTAGTCAAGTAGCTGATTTTTTCAAATGAACTATCTTGTAACAGACACCAAAAATGGAGAACACTACAATACTGAGGGTAGACCTTTAGTTTGTTTTAGACCACTGGGTGGTACTTTTCTTTGATAGGTTATCCCAAACCAGTTCACCAATTTGATAACGTGGTTCTTTGAGCTGTATTGTAACGCATACGGCCACCATTGCAGGTTGTTCGAGCCATGAGGCTGATGGGAGATTTCCCTTTGGCTCAAGTGGCTGGGTCCCTGTTGAATTATGCTGGAGGCCCGGGTTCGAGTCCCCGACGGTAGGGGGCCGACCTGAGGCGGCAGAGGCGAGGGCGCATACCCACGTGAACCCCGAAGCATTACAGTACGAAGTGTGGAAAGTGGAAAGGATAGATATGTTTTTAAAATATTTTAGTTACTGATGCAATATGTTTCTTATTAATATTTTTATCTGGGTTTTACAGTCAAGCTAGTAAAATAATTGACACTACAAGCATGAAAAGAATAAGCAAATAACAGTCACATTTACTGTTGAGATTTACAGTGTAATAAAATGCCCATCTTGGATTTTTATTTTTTTAATGATAACGTTTACTTGGAACAAAAATAACAATTTCTACAAAAAATATTCAAACAATGTATATATTCAAACAGTATATAATAGTAATATATTATATTTCTTTATTTGGATAAGTAATATTCTGTGTTTGCGTCCTGAATGCCGTGAAAAACACTGTTCACAATCGGGAAGGATACAAACACAGAGCTGGATTTTTCTTTTTTCTTCCCAACTTCAGACAACATGACCCCTTTAGACCACGGATGAAATGAACCAATATTGCGGAAAATAAAATGTGGAAACGATTTTTGTTTCGAAAAACCTGGCTATTTTTTTTAATAGGCTGCAGCAGCGTTTACAATCCATCTCGGTCCGAAAACTATATGGATAAGTGCAGTATTTAGTGGGGTAGGGAGGGGAAACTTGCAACTACAAGAAGAAAAACACCTCTTTTTTCCCCCGTCTTTCTCTTTTCGTACGTTCTAAGTATTTATTTGGTATGAAAGTCAGTTCAGCACTGACGCTGGCGAGAAAAGTCTCAGATCAGACGTGGGTCTGCGAACCGGTCCTTGCGAGTGGCCCTCTCTTCTGCAGTGTGTTGGTGGACGCAGAGCACCGAGAGGGAGGCGAAGTCCAGTACCGGGAAAGCTCCCCACCCCGTGTTGCGCTCAGTAAGCAGTTAATATGGCCAGCTGGCTTAGCGTGGCGCAGAGCAGGAGGGTGGCGAGGCTGAGGTACGAGGCTGAGGCGGCGTCGCACTCCCCGTTTTCTTTGGCGCACTTGGGCTGCTCGCAGAGGACTCCTGTGAAGCCGGGAAAGCACAGGCACCGCTGGTTCTGGTGGCAGGTCCCCCCGTTCTGACACAGCAAGAACTCCTCGTCGCAGACGTTGGCTGCCGGAGAAGAAGCAAAAGCAGGAGGGAGGCGTCAGCTTCGTGAGAGGAAATGGTGGTGTTCACCTGCTCGTTTCTAGTTCTCCACAAATCAGCATTATTCCGGTTATTCCTCAACGTCAGGATGTTCAGGTCTCTGGGGGTTTATTCAGACGCCTGCTGGCTAGAGACATTTGGACACGGATATATCTGTACATCCTCTACAACCCCAATGTATGAACGGAAGATTGAGGTACTCTATCCCCACAGGATGGAAAATATCCAACATCCTTGTGGCTTGAAAATTAATCTGAGTACACGGACAGTTAATTTTACTTCAGCCAAATCCAGACCAGTTTACTATCCCTAAAGCCCCAGTGAGCTGAGTTGAGGAACACATAGTAACCTCACACTATTAAACAGAAGTGTCTAGTTTTGTTGTAAACCATATTCACTTCATGGTGCTGAAAATCTGCTTACACAGCAAAATCCATTTCTACCAGTTTAATATATTATACCTTAAAGAATTTATAATGTTAATTGTATATTCAAAATGCACCTATGGGTTATTGTGGAGGGCTATCAGAGCATAGATTCATTCACCATAGTATAGCAATTTCATGTACACTAAACATGTCAACCCAGCATAGTCTTCATTTGAATTTGTGTGCTGTCCTACTGTTTTCCTTTCTAATTCAATAAAACAGTCTAAATACAATCAAGTTAAACATTTGCTGGCACATTCTCCCTTTGGTAAATAGTTTCAGACCCAAAGATACACGTTTACAAACATCATTGAAATGTGGTACTTCGATTTGAAGGAAGAAAAAACACAGTCCACAGTCACTGTTATGGTAGTGACCTCTAATTTAATGGAATTTGCAAAGGCTGTGGGGAAACAGGGTACTCCCATCATTCTTTAATAATTGGTCTCAGGTGGTTTTCATGAGCCATGTGACTCTACAACCAAAATCTCAAAAGGTAAGACAGTGGTCTGAATGTATTTTATTTTTAATCAATTTCAGTCTATTAACAAAATCATCTTTGCTCTGTTATTTTATTCTCCACTTGTTCAGTGTATTGTTAAGATAAATTAGGTTTGATGATAACAGTGCTTACCTTTAAAATGTCATTTCTAAGTTAGTCAAATTTTAACAGCAACGTTCTAACACCAAACTCTTATAACATGTGCACAAATTTCAGATCCCTTTCATTTTATTTAGGTGAATATTATGTTTTTTACT